CTTTTCCTTCCTTCCTTTGGTTGTGCTATGAGTTCTTTCTTTCCTTTTTCCCTCCTTCCTTATGAGTTTTTTCTTTTCCATCCTTCCTTTGGTTGTGATATGAGTTCTTTCTTTCTTTTCTTTTTCCTTCCTTCCTTCCGTATGAGTTCTTTCTTTTCTTTTTCCCTCCCTCCCTTCTCTCTCTCTCTCTCCTCTTTCTTTTTGACAAGGTCTGGCTTGGTCACCCAGGCTGGAGTCCAGGATGAGATCATGCTTCACTGCAGCCCCCCAGGCTCAAGCAATTCTCCCATCTCAGCCTCCTGAGTAGCTGAGACCACAAGTGTGTGCCACCATGCCTGCAAAATTTTTTGTAAAGAGTGAGTCTATGTTGCTTAGGCTGCTCTCAAAGTGATCCTCCTATCTTGGCCTCCCAAAATGCTGCGATTACAGGCATGAGCCACTGTGCCTGGCTATATTATGAGTTCTTTTATCACTTTTCTGGTTACCTGACATTCTTGTGTGTCAACTTACATGTTGTCACAGTTTGCTGCTGCTTTTTTTTTTTGTATTTTTTTTTTTTTTTAATAGAGATGGGGTTTCTCCATGTTGGTCAGGCTGGTCTTGAACTCCCAACCTCAGGTGATCTACCCGCCTTGGCCTCCCAAAGTGCTGGGATTACAGGTGTGAGCCACCATGCCCGGCTACAGTTTACTGCTTCTATTTTGCAGTGAGCTCAGACCCTAGATGACCAGAGTTTTCAAAAAATGATGTAAGAAATAAGCAATAATGGCTTTGAATAAACCTGAGGAACTTTTCTCTTAGAAAAATAATGAGTTTTAGTGCATGGACTATGTGACATCTCTCCTGGATGTTTACCTGTCTCTGAATAATTGTAGTAATTCCTAATTCTCAGGTTCCCAATAACTGCAACTACTAGATGGCCAAGTTCCAAATATCTGAGGTACTATCATATGCCTACATTTTAGGTACATCTTTCCTAAAAATTCTCAATGCTTTCTTTGTACACACTAGGAAAAGATAAGACTCAAGTGGAGAATTTACTTTGAACCTTAGACTTAATTATTATCAATTTAGTGACTTGTGTATAATCAAACAAAACGTATAGGCCCACCACTGATCTAGAAGTTTGTAGGAGAAACAGAAGGATGGCATAATTACAATCCTTTTGCAACATATGCTTTGTTTAATGTGTATTTGTCTGAAAACAGTTTAAGATAATATATGATAAAGGGAAAAAGTAAGTTATAGGCTACAGGTATTGTCAAAATTGAGAAAAGAAAGAAAATTGCTATGGACTGGAGTAGTCAGGAAGAATCTCATTATAATTGGGTTCAGAAAGACAAACAGGATTGTAGATATGAAGAGAAAGGGAAAAGACAACCTTAAGGACAATCATGTTCTTCTACTAACACTTCTGATACCTACCTACCAGTAGAAAAACAACACAGGAATTGTGCAACACTTATTGGTCATTTTCTGCATGTCAGATGCTTTATTATATTACATTTTTTTTTGAGGCGAAGCCTTGCTCTGTGGCCCAGGCTGGAGTGCAGTGAAATCCACCTCCCAGGTTCAAGTGATTCTCCTGCTTCAGCCTCCCGAGTAGCTGGGATTATAGGCACCCATCACCATGCCCAGATAATTTTTGTATTTTTAGTAGAGATGGGGTTTCACCATGTTGGCCAGGCTGGTCTTGAACTCCTGATCTCAGGTGATCTGCCTGCCTTGGCCTTCCAAAGTGCTGAGATTACAGGTGTGAGCCACCACGCCTGGCCCAGATGTTTTAAAACTAATTAATACAACTTCATAATCCATCGGTGAGGGGCAGGGAGGATTGGTGGTGGGTAGTCATAAAAACTATATGGAGCATGATTTAAAATAGTATGGTAGTTCTCATTTTTTTAAAATAAAAAGCTGAAATGAAGAAAAGGGATGTACTGTAACTCACGTTTTCTGTTTTAACCTTCCACCATCAGTATCTGTTGGTTGAGACTGTAACTTCTCTTCATCATCTGACTGTGCTGCGTCATTACTGTAAGAAGAGGAAGTTGTTTTAAAAGAAACCATTTCTTCTACACTTTTTTTTTTTTTTTTTTTCCGAGACGCAGTCTCACTCTATTGCCCAGGCTGGAGTGCAGTGGCGTGATCTTGGTTCACTGCAACCTCTGCCTCCTGGGTTCAAACAATTCTTCTGCTCAGTCTCCCGAGAAGCTGGGACTATAGGAGCATGCTGCCATGCCGAGCTAATTTTTTGTATTTTAGTAGAGACAGGGTTTCACTGTGTTGCCCAGGTTGGTCTCGAACTCCTGAGCTCAGGCAATCCACCCGCCTTGGCCTCCCAAAGTGCTAGGATTACAGGCGTGTGCCACTGTGCCTGGCCTTTATAATTTTAATTTAAATGATGGACCTTGAGAACTGAAAGGCTTCAGAAATTGAAGAAAAGAATCTTTAAGCAAGGTACAATGTACAACATATAAATGAATGCAATTTAGAAACTTAATGAAAAACCTACAAACAAGGCTTCTGCTTGGCAAAATGTGCTGTAGAGGAATAATAAAGTAACTTGAGGGCATCTTCCTTGCTACTCATTAGGTACAACATACATTACATTTAATAAAATAGCTCCTGCTTTTGCAGAAATGATTCCTTAGGTCGACATACATCTCATAGTAAAGTCACTCATTTCATTTTAAAGCCATTTTCTGATCCTACAAAAACAGCACAAATATTTATACAATTTATGATCCTTAAAGCAAGGTTTCAGAAGACTAAGTGTTCATTCTACACAGCTTTTTAGCCTCAACGTTTTTTGTTGTTGTTGCTGTTATGATTTTTTTTTAGTAGATATGAGGTCTCACTATGTTGCCCGGGCTCCTCTCTTAACTCCTGAACTCAAGTCATTCTCCTGCCTCAGCCTCCCAAAGTGCTGGGATTACAACATGTGAACTACCACACCTGGCTGCCTCACTGTTTTTTATTGTTTCAAGTATAATATAAATCATTTAAAAAAAGAAACTAAGTGCTATGGGATTTAATATTTATACTATGTCCCCCCAGTAACTGTACACTCATAATGGAGAGCCAAGTTAAAGAAGACATATATTATCTAACTCTATTTTAATTCCAGAATAAAAAAAAAAAAAGGGTGAATGAAACCAAGTTAGGGATTGTCACAGTTCATTAACAGAGAAATCTTAATGACTCTGAAATACTATAAATGACAAATGACAAATAACAACATTAGGCCATACCTTACATATTCTTTTGTCCTTCTCATGATGTGTAGAGTGAGAGGATTAATGCCTGTTGGTAGTTTCTCTTCTGCAAGACTCAAAGGTATTTCTTCTCCAGTATCCAGGTTCTTAATCATTACACTAGCTAAAATTTCCTGAAGTTAAAAAAAAAAATCACACCAAGATGACCTATAATTTAATTATCTTTTTGAGTCTACAGAATCCCCCAAAATGTAAGCTAAAGGCTTTTTTAGATACATTGAATACTGCACAGAATAAATTCCAAGATTTTTATTGAGATATAATTCACATACCACAAAATGCACTCATTTAAAGCATATAAGTCAATGGTTTTTAGTATATTCACAGAGTTGTACAAACATCACCACTAAGTCAGAACATTTTCTGCACCCCAAGAGGAAACTCCTTACCCATTAGCAGTCACACCTCATTTCCCTTTCCTCCTAGCCCCTGGCAAATACTAATGTACTTTCTGTCTCTATAGATTTGCCTATTCGGGACATTTCATATAAATTAAATCATACGGCCTTTTATTTACGTATGGTTTCTTTAACTTAGCATGACGTTTCCAAGGTTTATCCATGCTGTAGCATGTACCAGTACTTTATTCCTTCATTCCTTTTAATTGCTGAAAAATATAACTTTGTATGAATATACCACATTTTATTTATCCATTTATTAGTGATGGACATTTGGGTTGTTTTCACTTTTTGGATGTTATGAATAATGATGCCATGAATATTTGTGTACATTTTCTGTGTGAACATATGTTTCCATTTCTCATTGGTATATACAAAAGAATGGAGGTGCTGGGTCATGGTAATACCATGTTTAACATTTTGAGGAACTACCAAACTGTTTTCCAAAGTGCAATATTTAAAAAAAAAAAGTATTCTTTAAAGAAACATAAACTAAAATTTTGCTGTAAAATTTAATTCTGAATAAGTTAGCTAATAGGTGCATACCAAATTTTAATTGTAAGAAACCATTAAAATAATAAAAAAAATTATGTTGGTATAACATGTATTTATAATATCAAGTTCTTTTATTATTATTATTATTTAAACAAAAATTTTTTTTTCTTGAGACAGAATCTCACTCTGTCACCCAGGCTGGAGTACAGTGGCACAATCTCAGCGCACTGCAATCTCTGCCTCCCAGGTTCAAGTGATTCTCCTGCCTTAGCCTCTGAGTAACCAGGATTACAGGTGTACGCCATCATGCCTGTATAATTTTTGTATTTTCAGTAGAGACAGGGTTTCGCCACGTTGGCCAGGCTGGTCTTGAACTCCTGACTTCATGTGACCTGCCTGCCTCAGCCTCCCAAAGTGCTGGGATTACAGGAGTGAGCCACCGCACCTGGCCTCAATATCATGTTCTTTTAAAGCTCACTTTCTATAAAATACGAACCTTGCTTTTAATATATTTATTCCACTATATAACAAAAAGGGCAAGTTTAAGTCAGAGATGCAACATCCAACATATCAACAAAACAAAGACAACCTTCAATCTTCATTTTTTCTTCTGTATTTTTTTTTGCCTAACAGCAATAAACTTTAAAAAAATTTTAAATTGTAATAAACTACACATAACAAAAAGTTTAACATTTTAACAATTTTTAAGTGTATAGTTGTGGGTCATTAAATACATTCACATTGTTATGTAACCATTATTATCATCCAACTCCAAAACATTTTCATCTTCCCATTATGTCTTTTGTACTTTATGTTTTAAGAACAAAAAAATCTATTTCTACCTCATCAGTAAGCTCTCTCCCAGAGTTGGATCTAGGTCTCTGAGGGCCCATCACTTCACCTGCTATCGTCTGCCCATCAGGTGCTTTTCCATTTTCCTGGAAATATAATTTTATAAACAGAAATTAGACTGAATCAATTTCTATAAATTTTCAATTATTACCACACACAGTTCTAAAGAATTTCATAATTCAGATAATGGAATCTGCTGAAAATCTAAATGGAACACTACATTTCAGTCCTTCATTTTTCCTAGCATGCTGAAAAACATTAGGAACCAAAACTATTGCTGCCCATGAAATAATGTCTTAGTATTCTTGAAAACAAATAAATGTTCTATTTGAACCTGCCCAAAAAAGCATTTCTCTACTAAGAGTGCTATTAATCTGGACTGTGTGTAGCTATCTCAAATGTAGGGGTCAGAAAACTTCTCTCTATAAATAGCCAGACAGTAAATATTTTAGGCTTTTTTGTTCATATAGAGTCTTTATTAAAATAAAAATTCTTCTTATTTTAAACGACTTTAAAAAACATAAAGAACATTCTTAGCTTGGGGACCCTACCAAAGCAGGCCACGACTGATCCTTGCTCTAAGGCTATAACAAGACTATAGTGTCATATGTTCTAGTCCGGTAACCCGGCCCACCATAGCTACCAAGTAAGTAGCTCTGAGATGCAGAATCTATCTGTGGTAAAAGTAATGTTATCAAGTCTTCTGTGTAGCCCACTGCCTAGTATATAAAGTTTTTTCTGATTGGGAAAAGGAAATTATAAAAAAAAAAGTCTTCAATTTTGAGCAATACAGGACAGGTAAATATAGACTATAGTTGGTGTTTATTAGTACCAACAATATTACAAATAGTAGCATCTGGAATTTTTGGAATACCTATTACCTGCTAGATACTTGGCATATTTTAGCTCATTTCAAACCCTAAAGGAAGGATTTTTCCTCCATGTTATAGATGGAGCATCTGAGATCCAGATGCTAAACAGCTTGCTAGGCTCGCCCAGTTAGTTTGCAGCAGAGCTGATCGAGGGAAGTAAGGAGGCCAGATGTGGGGAACAAAGAAATATTTGGTCTGCAGAACATAGAAGCCTCAACAATCAACAAACCAGTCAGTTGGAGAGAGCTGATAAAGCCTATATGGAATAGAACACTAATTCACCAACCTGGGCAGTAACTATTTTTTCTCCACTGGTAGCACTTGCCAAATCAAGAGAAGGCTGAGAATCCTTGACCATACTCTCTGAAGCCATGTTTGCAGTTAGGAGAGAATCAGACGTAATATTCTCTTTGGGAACTGCAATGATAATGATAATGATAACAACAACAATTACAACCTTTTTTTTTTTTATTCTTATAACAACCCTGTGAGGAAAGTGGCTTGATTACTCTCATTTCCTATTCAGGGAAACCATGGTTCAAACAAGTTATTTAACTTCCTCAAGACTAGACAGCTCATAAAAAAAAGATGCAGGACTTGAATTCAGACTTTAGGTCTCCACATCCCATGTTTTTGTTACCATGCCACTCTTTCTCAGATGGCAATAGATTTGAAAGTTTGAGTCTGCTCAAGTGTTCAATTACAGTAAAGTAACTTTCACCAATGTAAACATTTTTATATTTTGTCTATTACTAAAGAAATACTTTTAATAACTTGGTTGCCAGTGTTTTTTTTTTAATAAACTGAAATAAAAGCAGAAAGGTAAATAGTTTCAACTCCAAAATTTCACCACAAAGAGTTATTTGTCTCTCTTTCTCTCTTTTTTTTTTTTTTGAGACAAGGTTTCACTCTGATCATAAAGGCTGGAGTACAATGGCATAATCTTGGCTCACTGCAGCCTCTGCCTCCCAGGCCCAAGCAATTCCCCTGTCTCAGTCTCCCAAGTAGCTGAGACTACAGGCACGTGCCACCATGATCGGCTAATTTTATATTTTTTTTTTTTGGTTCAGATGGCGTTTTGCCATGTTGCCCAGGCTGCTCTTAACTGAGCTCACAAGCAATCTGCCTGCCCTGGCCTCCCAAATTGCTGGGATTACAGGTATGAGCCACTGTACCCAACCAACAGAGTTATTTCTCAATTAATACTTGCCATCTAGATCAGGCGTTTTCAGAGTCTCAAATTCCAGTTCGCTTTTCTTTTTTCTTGGTGGTGGAGCAGGTCGAGATGGAGGTGGAGGTCTAGGAGGTGGGAAATTAGTTGGAGGAGGTGGGCGTGCTGGAACAGGCTTCTTTGTACTAGCCACTATATCAGGTTCTGGAGTAAGGTGTCTTGGGGGTTTGGCAGGGGCCACTTCTTCCCCAGTGGCAAAATCTTTAGTAGATAAAGAGTCTGAGGACACAGGCTCTAGAATATCACTTCCTTTGACTTCCACTGCTTCCTTGTTCAATACTTCTGTTTCAGTTTCAGGCACATTAAGCTGCTCAGGTGAACTTACTTCAGTTAACTTCATGGTTTCATCTATTGGTTTCTCACAGGTTTCATCAGAAGGAAAACATTTTTTTAATTCTAATTCAGTCTCTTCAAATGTATTCTGACTCTCTGCTGTTTGGGATTCTTCCTGTAGTACTTGATCTATGGCTAACAGTCCGGGTATATTGCTCAGATCTGTTCTAGCCACAATAGGACTGGCAGTAGCCTGATCAGAGAGTTCTTTTCCTTTGGAATCCAAAGAGTCATCTTCAAGCTGTAGTACTTTCTGACTCTCCTCAATAATACTTTCAATAATCTGATGAAAGTGTTAAAAGCAGTTTTTAAAAATGAAGCTATTTATAAGAATGTAATAACAGCTAATCATTTACATAGTGCTTAGTACACGCCAGGCAATGTTCTTAACACTTTACATATTTTAATCTTCACAACAACCTTATGAGATTCCACTCCTATTTTCACCATTTTACAAATGAGGGAACTAATCAAATGATTTGTCCAAGGTCGCAAAGCAAGTGAGTGATGAAGCAGGTATAAACCCAGGGAGTTTGATTCCAGAATCTATACTCTTAGCCCTCATAATAAGGAATTTGTGTTAATACTTAGGCACAAAAGGTCAAATAACCCTGTAAAATCAAGTTCAATCCTAAACTTACATTAAGACTCAATATCCTGATTCATTTACATATTTATGCAAAACTAGTTGTAATACCAGCCTACTGGTTTCAGCCTACTTAACAAAATCATGATAATCCAAATCCACCCAGGAGAAGAATTCAAGTTGTTTGGCTCTGAACTCAAGCTTATGACCCAAAAACCAGCAGATGCAGGGAGATTAACATTCTTAAACAGACTACACCTAAACTCCACTATTTGGAGTGATGGCAGGACCATGAAAAGAGTTCAAATACCCAGTTAACCTTGTCTTATCCTTCCTTTTCTTTCTTTCTTTCTTTTTTTTTTTTTTTTTAAACAGAGTCTCACTCTGTTACCCAGCCTGGAGTGCTGCGGCATAATCTCGGCTCACTGCAACCTCCGTCTCCCCTCAAGCAATTAATTCTCCTGCCTCAGCCTCCCAAAAAGCTGGGATTACAGGCGTGTGCCCCATGCCTGGCTAATTTTTGTATTTTCAGTAGAGATGGGGTTTCACCATGTTGGCCAGGCTGGTCTTGAACTCCTGACCTCAGGTGATCCGCCCATCTCAGCCTCCAAACATGCTAGGATTACAGGCATGAGCTACTGTGCCCGGCCCCCTTTATTTCTTACACGTAGCTGAAAATATAAACAAGCTTTCTATTATCTTCTACTAACATTTAGAAAAAAATATATTTTCTCCCCAGTCTTGTCATTAAATCTCCCAGATCACTTATCCTGCCGCCATGTCCAACCATGAATAACTTCTGCTTTCTCAATTCCTTGGCTTCAGAAAGTTAATGGAATGTATCACAGAACCATCCTAATCTGGTTTACTACAATTTCATGCAAACTTGAACTGGATATTACTGTTGCTCAGTAATATTCATCCTTAATTCCTTACTATATTTGATATGTTAGTTTTTCTCAATCTTCAAATTGGTAACCTTAGAAATTACCTTGTTTTCACCAGAACTAACCAGAGTCCAACTAATTTGTCAATTAGGTGGTTACTGAGCACTTAGAACCTCAAGGATAACAGTGATAGCAGAAGTCATCCAATTCCCACAATGGATTTGGGAATTAATAAGAGGTAAAGATATAGAGACATTAGCACGGTCTGCATTTTCAAAAAGCTTAGCTATAAATGCAAAAAGACTTCAATAAAGTGACCTAGCGCTTTTATAACCTGAAGGGAAGAAACCACTGGAAAAGAAGATAACAGAGCAATGTTCCGGAAAAGAAAGGAAAGAAGGCCTACTGTGTATTAGACCTAGTATACAAATTCTCATTTAATTGTCATATAGACCTTTGTGAGGTAGCTGGATTACCTCCCTTCTAGAAATGCAGGACTCCAAGGTAAAGACATTAAGAACTTTGCCAATCCCACAATTAATAAGCTACAAAGCCAAGACTGAAATCCAGGTCTTTCTTAAAAATCCAGTGATCTTTGTATTATACCACACTACTTTGGACAGAAAACAAGAATACTATCTTCAGTGATGGATGACATGAAAAAGAGGTAAGAAATGAAAATAAATATGTAGGTAAAGGAAGTGAGAGATGATAGAAAGGAATGAGTTCAGGCTTATTAGCCTCTAATATTTATGTGGAGTAGGAAACAAGGTTATCTGCCAAAAGTAAGGTGGGGTGTGGGTGGGTACAGTGAGCATGAGGAGAGTATAAAGGCTTGAAATAATCACTATGCATAATGGAAATGTCTGTGCCATAAGAGGGGTCTAAAATGTGGTTGAAAATCCTGTCTTCCCCAATCCCTTATCTAAGAACAATCTCTCCCTCCTCTGAACTTCTATTTTTCTTCTTACTGTTCAGTATAGTATGAACTATAAAACAAATACAGAGCAGTATATGGGCTAGCTCTATTTACTTTCTCTACACCAGATAATTAGTTCCTGGAGAGCAAGGTCCATGCTTTCTGCCTCTTGATATGCTCCATGATGCCTTCTTATGGTGCCTACCCCTGTCATTTTTTTCTGGGTTTTAGGAGACAGTTAAAAGGGAAAGACTAAGGAACAGTGAGAACCAAGACATACAAAGAGATGATTATGCTAAAGCACTGTTTGCTTCCAAAAGCTCACTGCAGCCAGGCACAGTGGCTCACGCATGTAATCCCAGGACTCTGAGAGGCCGAGGTGGGCGGATCACCTGAGGTCAGGAGTTCAAAACCAGGCTATTTTAAGTAGAAACCAGCCTGTTTCTACTTAAAATACAAAAAAAAAAAAAAAAAAATTAGCCTGGCGTGGTGGTGTGTGCCTGTAATCCCAGCTACTTAGGAGGCTGAGGCAGAAGAATTGCTTGAAACTGGAAGGTGGAGGTGGCAGTGAGCTGAGATCACATCACTGCACTCCAGCCTGGGAACAGAATGAGACTCAAATCTCAAAACAAAAAAACAAAAACCTCACTGCTTTCCCAGTGATTACAAAATAAAAAGCACAGTTTAGTATGACACAAGGCATTCCTATACTCTGGCCCTAACTTTTCTCTCTAGCTCATCCTCAAATGTTCTGCACGTTCCCTACCTCCATGCCTTTAGAAAGGCCTTTCCTCTCCCATCTTGGCCTGTCCAAATCTTATGCATTCCTTAAGAAACAGCTCAGATGCTACCTCCTCCATGAAGTCATCCTCATTCCTACCCCCAAGCAAGAAGTCTCCTTTCCTTTGTGTTCTTACAATAGTTTGTAAGTTTATTTGAACATATTGCATTTAGTTTTGTGTTTATCCAATTTCCTCTATTAAAATGTAAGCTACTTGAAAGCAGAGTGTGCCGTCATCCAGGGTATGTCCCCATAGTCTTTATCATTAGCGATTCATACTTAATTTAATTAAAAAGGCTAGAACGTAAAAAGCGATTATTTAGCATCTTAAACCTCACTCTGGTCCATAGTGTTTTCTCACTACTTTTTCAACTTTTAAACTCTCCTTAAAAACATCTTTTTGGCCGGGTATGGTGACTCACGCCTGTAATCCTAGCACTTTGGGAGGTGGGGTGGGCAGATCACGAGGTCAGGAGATCGAGACCATTCTGGCTAACATGGTCTCTACTAAAAATACAAAAAATTAGCCAGGCGTGGTGACACGCACCTGTAGTCCCAGCTACTCAGGAGGCTGAGGCAGGAGAATCGCTTGAACCCGGGAGGTGGAGGTTGCGGTGATCCAAGATTGTGCCACCGCACTCCAGCCTGAGCAACAGGGCGAAACTCTGTCTCAAAAAACAAAAACAAAAAAATTTTTTTCTCCATTAACTAGAAATAGTTACCCATTTGTAATTTTTCCTAAGAAAAACATTCTTTAAAAAGATTAGAAAAGCTATAGTGGAAAAAATAGGAATATTTTAATTTTCAACAATAAAAATGGCTAGATACATTGTAATCCATTTACTTGATGGAAATCGATGCATCTGAGTATGGAAATCATATAGAAATATGAGGAAAATCTAAAAATGGTAAGAGTAAAAGATAGAATATAAAATTCTACCTACACTACAATTAGGCAGAAAAGTGTACGCTAATGGGTGAGAACCAGAAGGAAATGCTGAAAAATCAAGACAACTGTGTGTTATAGTATAGAATTGTAGGCAATTTCTTATTTTTTTAAAAAAATGGTTCAATTCCTGTTAATGTACACTGGCATGCAATCCACCATTTGTTCCAAAAGGGAATATTTTTCTTTTAAAGGAAAAAGTATGATCAATATTAAAATATGTGTAGTCTGGCTGGTCACAGTGTTGTACACCTATAATCCCAGCGCTTTGGGAGCCTGAGGTAGGTGGATTGCCTGAGCTCAGAATTTTGAGACCAGCCTGGGAAGCACGGCAAAACCTTGTCTCTACATAAAATACAAAAATTAGCCAGGTGCGGTGGCACACACCTGTAGTCCCAGCTACTTGGGAAGCTGAGGTGGGAGGATCACTTGAGCCCAGGAGATAGAGGCTGCAGAGAGCCATGATCGTGCCACTGCACTCTAGCTTGGGAGAAAGTGAGATCCTGCCTCAAAAAAAAAAAAAACACAAAAAAAACCATAGTCCATTAAATTTCTAAATTCCATCAGGATACAACAATGATTTTCCATTAGGGGTTATTTTGTTCCATACCCCTCCCCAGACATTTGCTGATGTCTGGAGATATATTTGGTTGTCATAATTGGGGGTTGGGGATGCTACTGGCATCTAGTAAGTAGAAGCCAGGGATATTGCTAAAACATATTACAATGTACATAATAGGCCCTACTCTCTATTAGTCCAAAATGTCAAGTAACACTATTGGAGAAACTCTGGGGTGGAGAATGTGTCATTCTGTTAGCCTCTGGAGACCCACTGGCTAGAACATTGCTTAGGACACAGAAAACACTTAAAACATTTATAAATGAATAAAAACACACCATCCTGTCTTTCTCCTTGAGTTTTATTCTGATACTGTGAACTGCCCATTTTCAAATTACTGATCTTGTGCTTGGTCTCTTCTAGTAAACCAACCTTTGAAGCTTCATAGCATCAATTTTTTAAAAGGTATCAAAGGTACTATCAGAATAAGGACTTCTTATAACTTCTGATTCCTAAAGACATCAGAAGGTTGCTGCGCTGAGCTTTTCAATACCCATAACTCCAGGTAGTAATCTCAGGAATAGTTAGGGCTTATTCTGATGAAAATACAATAGAAAATAAAATATTTTACAAAATACTGTTACAACGATAAATTACCAGTTAGACTATGAAAAGGAGTTCTAGAAAGCCTGAAATATCTTCAACCACAATTTGACAGATTCATGAAATATTTACTGAACATCAACCATGTACAGAGCACTATACTAAAAGAATATAAAAACTGTCTGAAATATACCATTTAAATATGTGTGCTATAAACTGATATTGACATTATATCTTTCCAACCTTTTTAGACACATCTGGTTTCAATTCTTGTACAGGTGACTCATTTCCAACTTTGTATGCAGTATTCTCTGTTTCCTGTTTGAAAAAGAAAAGAAATAGAGACCAAATGACGACATCTTTTCTTTAAAAATACACTTTAAAGGGGGACAAATGAGAAAATGTTGCATTAATAAATCAAAGGCCCTTAAAGGGCTTAGATTTCTTCTTTTTTGGGGGGGAACGGAGTCTCACTCTGTCACCCAGTCTGGAGTGCAGTGGCACCATCTCGGCTCACTGCAACCTCTGCCTCTTGTCTCAGCCTCCTGAGTAGTTGGGATTACAGGCACGTGCTACCACACCTGGCTAATTTTTGTATTTTTAGTAGAGACAGGGTTTCGCCTTATTGGCCAGGCTGGTCTCAAACTCCTGACCTCAAGTGATCTACCCGCCTCAGCCTCCCAAAGTGCTGGGATTACAGGCGTAAGCCACCGTGCCCAGCCTAAAGGGCTTAGATTTCTGAATACTGATAGAGGCCCAGAAATTTTATGCCAAATGGGACCATGTAATTTGCATAAGAAAGTTACCAATCAGCAATATTCTATTATTCTACAATAGGATATTTACCTTTAAATGTGAAAACTTGCTCAACTTTTTAACATTAGAAAACTGTAATGGAAGATAACTTCTAAGTACCTTTGTAGCTAAAAAGGATTAAGGATTTAAGCATGGGGTTGAATCAAAATTATTGTTTTTCCCAAAGCATTGCTCCAAAAATATGCACAAATACAAAAAAAAGTATGCAACACAGAAAACCACATTTAGGGAATAGTTTTCTTAACATTCTACATACTTTAGATAAAAGAAACCAAGACTTAACCAGAAGTTAAATGAAGCCCCTAAAAGTATGAAAAAAGATGAAAAAAATTAAACCCACCAAAAATACATATATATCTACGTATACATTTATATACACATACGTACATATATATATATATTTGGGAGGTTAGAAATTGGTACTGCATTTCTGCTGGAAAAAAAATAGGGTAAAATAAGGCAATCATACTTGCAAATCTCAATACAATACTCTACTCAATCTCAAGTTGTCTTTCTACTTATGGAAGTACAGCAATTTGAATGCTACTCTTGATAATAAGAAAAACATCATAATTCTTTGTGCACATCACAGAGCTTGTTAGAGGAAGGTCACTATAATCATTTTAGACAGATAAGGGACCCAAGGCAAAGTAATTATTTATACATTTATACAAGTATCAGGATGTGATCATGATAGGCTCATTAATAAAATTACTCCAGAGATTATTAAAATGTTAAAGATTTAACATGCCAGTGAAATTTCTGTAGAACTTGCAATATCTTTGAGCATTGAATTCCTCTTCAGAATATTGGGAATACTACCAATCTTACACAGATTTTTCCAGAAAAAAATTGTTTTATGGACTTTTAAGTGTTAGATAAAATCCAAACTGTACCAAGGCCCATGAAGGCCTAAACAAGACATGGCCTCTGCCTACATTTTTGATATCTTCTACATTCCTCATCTCCCTCACATATCACTCCCCCGCGATTACACTCTGGCCAATAGGACGGTTCCTTGCCATCAGGGTCCCAGCTCAAGTGCTATTTTATCAGAAAATACTTCCCTGACCATCTCAAAACAGACTTATCTAACCCCTTAACTTTCTATCATACTATCCTATTTTTCTTTCTTTTTTTTAACTTTTAAATTCAGGGGTACATCTGCAGATTTGTTACCTAGGTAAACTTGTATCATAGGGTTTTGTTGGACAGATTATTTCATCACCCAGGTATTAAGCCTAGTACACATTAGTCATTTAACCTGATCTTCTCCCTCCTCCCACTCTTCACCTTCTTGTAGACCCAAACATGTACGTTGTTCCCCCCATGTCTTCATGTGTGCGCATCATTTAGCTCCCACTTATAAGTGAGAACGTGCAGTATTTGGCTTTCTATTCCTGCGTAGTTTGCCAAGGATAATGGCCTCCAGCTCCATCCATGTGCCTGCAAAGGACATGATCTCTTTCTTTTTTATAGCTGCACAGTATTCTATGGTATATATCCACATTTTCTTTATCCAGTCTATCATTGATGGGCATTCAGGTTGATTGCATGTCTTTGCTATTGTGAATAGTGCTGTAATGAACATTTGTGTGCATGTGTCTTTATAATAGAATGATTTTTATTCCTTTTGGAATATACCAAATAACAGGATTGAAGAGAGGATGTCAAAATATCCTTGTTTGCAGACAATATGATCTTATATCCAGATAACCCATAGTCTCAGCCCAAAAGCTTCTTAATTTGATAAATAACCTCAGCAAAGTCTCAGGATACAAAATCAATGTGCAAAAATAACTAGCATTCCTATGCACTAATAACAGTCAAGCCGAGAGCCAAATCAGGAACATACTTCCATTCGCAAGTGCCACAAAAAGAAATACCCATGAATACAGCTAACTAGGGTGGTGAAAGGAGAATTACAAACTACTGCTCAAAGAAACCAGAGATGACACAACAAATGGAAAAACATTCCACGTTCATGGATAGGAAGAATCAATAGTGTTAAAATGGCCACACTGCCCAAGGCAATTTACAGATTTAGTGCCATTTTTATTAAACTACCATTGAGATTCTTCAAAGAACTAGAATTTATTTTAAAATTCATAAGGAACCAGAAAAGAGCCTGAATAGCCAAAGCAAATCCTAAGCAAAAAAGAACAAAGCTGGAGGCATCATGCTACCCAACCTCAAACTATGCTACAGGGCTACTGTAACCAAACAGCATGATACTGGTACAAAAACAGACACATAGACCAACGGAACAGAATAGAAAATATAGAAATAAGACCGCATACCTACAACCATCTGATCTTTGACAAACCTTATAAAAACAATGGGGAAAGGCTTCCCTATTCAATAAATGGTGCTGGGATAACATTATCCTATTTTCCTTCATTGCACTTATCGTTTGAAATAACATTATTTACTTGCTTATTTTTTTATCTATTCCCTGTCCCACTAGAATGTAAGCTCCATGAAAGCATGAACCTTGTTTGTTCTAGCTACAGTTTGTTCAGTACCTAAAACAGTGTCCGGCACTAAATAATCATTTGCTGAATGAATGTTGAATGATGCATGCTCTTTCTTCAGTTAATACATACATCTTAAATATATATAGGCTTTAATTGGATCCTGGTTTTATATGAAAGAAGGCCAGGCATGGGCTGAAACATGGAGTTAGAGACCAGCAGCCTGGGCAACATAGTGAGACCCTACCTCTTAAAAAAAAAGTCAAGGAAAGTAGTACACATCTGCAATCCCAGCTACTCGGGAGGTTGTGGCAGGAGGATTACTTAGGTCTAGGAGCTTGAGGCTGCAGTGAGCTATGATCATGCCACTGCATTTCAGCCTGGGCAAGAGAGCGAGACCCTGTCTCTAAAAAGAAAAAAAAAAAAAAAAAAAAGAAATAAAAATCTAACCAATACCAATTGGTAAGATAACCTTGACAAGATGGAGGCAGAATACTTGAAAGCTGATCACCAGTAAGAATAGTTGATACTCTCAGCAGAACAGGGTCCATAGGAAATCATAAAATATAAAATAACAGTTGATGCATATTAGAGAAACACCTTCAGCTGTCCTACTAATTATTTTTATCCAATTATTTTCTAGTAACTGTTCATCAGTACGAAAATCAGAAGCATTGTTAACATAATTCTGTGGTTATTTTCCCTAAATTAAGCTACACAAAATTACACATTAATAATCTTTGGACCTCAATTTGATTGATTAATTGACTGATTTTTAGAGGCAGGGTCTCAGTTGCCCAATTCCAGTTGCCCAGGCTGGAATGCAGTGATCCTCCCAACTTAGCATCCCAAAGTGTTGGGATTACAGGCATGAGTCACTGCACCTGGTCTATTTGTCACTGCACCCGGTCTAATTTGTTTCAATTATTTACTTATAAAAGATTCACATTCCCACACTGGCCAAAACTGCCAAGCAGTGATTAGACTTCTATTTTATTTGGCTTTAACAAAACTGTCTTGGAGTCTGAATTTTTAAAAGACAGCAACTCCTTTAAGGTGCTCTTGTTTTAAGTCACAAGCTTAAAGGAGTGATATGGCACCTACCAGAGGGCCTGATCTCCAGAGAAGATTTCTTAATAAAATCAGACTTAGGATTTATAGTCAACTATGATTCTCTCTCAGTGATGTGTAAGATCCAGGTCCTTCCAATACCTTGATCAGGCTTTTGGGACAAAGGAATGGAGGCCAAGAATGCACAGACAAGCAACGCCAACTTAGTTATACTTGAGACAGGCCATTACCTACTTCTGGTGATGTGCTGACCCATTATTAAAATGCAGTACTTACTAAATTCCAGCTTCCCCACTATCAGGCCATTTCTTTAACTCCTACCTATCACAGTATCAAAAGTTTGCTTCCTTAAAAGGTATGGTAGCTTATTCAATTTTTGGCAATTCATATCACAGTTACCACCATCTGTGTTAGATAGTAGAGAGCTGTCTGTAACCCCCTTGCAGTATTTGGTTATAAGATTTCAGCTTTTTAATTTTAATAAACACTCCCAACAAAGTATTTGTAGGAAAGTGATCTACACTCACAGAAATCTTCATTATTACCTACTAAAGTACATTAAGCTAAAAACGTTAATCATAAAAAAAAATTCAGATAACTTGTAATTTTTAGTAGTAAGGGAAGGGAAGCTACTAAAGTGAAAATTTAAAAAAAAAAAAAAAAAAAAAAAAAACAGAAATGTCACTTCCACTCTTTTTGCTGATACAATTGTTTAAAAAAGTAAACAATTAGCCGGGCGCGGTGGCTCAAGCCTGTAATCCCAGCACTTTGGGAGGCCGAGGCGGGTGGATCACGAGGTCAAGAGATCGAGACCATCCTGCTCAACATGGTGAAACCCTGTCTCTACTAAAACTACAAAAAAATCAGCTGGGCATGGTGGCGTGTGCCTGTAATCCCAGCTACTCAGGAGGCTGAGGCAGGAGAATTGCCTGAACCCAGGAGGCGGAGGTTGCGGTGAGCCGAGATCGCACCATTGCACTCCAGCCTGGGTAACAAGAGTGAAACTCTGTCTCAAAAAAAAAAAAAAAAAAAAAAAAAAGAAACAATTCTTAAATCGCTATCATATCCATACTTCCATTCCTTTTAATGCTGTTCCCTTTGTTGTAGTCTTATGTCTTGACATTTTAACTGCCTCTTGACAGCTTTCTCTGCACTTCAGTCTTTTTCCTCCAAACTTTATTCCACCCTTCCACCAGTTTTCTTAATTGCCCAGCAAAAAAAAACCTTGGGTAACACAGCTGTAAGACACATAAAAATTGACTTTTTAAATGTCCCATTTTAGGCCTGGCACAGTGACTCATTCATGTAATCCCAATGCTTTGGGAGGCTAAGGCAGGAAGATGGCTTGAGGTCAGGAGTTTCAGGCCAGTATGGACAACCTAGCAAGACCCTGTCTCTAAGCAATAAAAATAAAATAAACTAGCTAGGTGTGGGGTTGTGAGTCTATAGTCCTAGCCACTTGGGAGTATTAGGTGGGAGGAGTCTTTGAGACCAGGAGCTTGAGGATATAGTGAGCTGTGATCGTGCCACTGCATTCTAGCCTGGGTGACAAAGTGAGACCTTCAAAAAACAAAAATATCCCGGTTGGGCACAGTGGCTCATACCTGCAATCCGAGCACTTTAGGATGCCAAGGAGGGTGGATCACTTGAGGTCATTTGAGACCAGCCTGGCCAACATGGTGAAACCCTGTCTCTACTAAAAATACAAAAATTAGCTGGGTGTGGTGGCAGGTGCTTATAATCCCAGCTACTCAGGAGGCTGAGGCAGGAGAATCGCTTGAACCCAGGAGGTGGAGGTTGGAGTGTGCCAAGATTACACCACTGTACTCCAGCCTGGGTGACAAGAGGGAGACTCCATCTTAAAACAAAAACAACAACAAAAAACCCACAAAAATAATCTGTTTCAAAAGTTTAAAGATCAGAGTTCTTTTCTAAATTTTTTTAAAACTTGAGACAGAGTATCACTCTATTGCCCAGGGTGGAGAACAGTGGCACAATCTTGGTTCACTGCAACGTCAGCCTCCCAGCTCCAAGTGATTCTCCTGCCTTAGCCTCCCAAGTAGCTGGAATTACAGTCGTGTACCACCACGCCTGGCTAATTTTTGTATTTTTAGTAGAGATGGGGTTTCACCATATTGGCCAGAATGGTCTCTAACTCCTGATCTCAGGTGATCTGCCAGCCTTGGCCTGCCAAAGTGCTGGGATTATAGGTGTGAGCCACCGCACCCAGCCTCTTTTCTAAATTAAATTTAGTTTTCTAAAATTAAATTATTTTTTAATTTGTAATTGACATATAATAATGATACATATTTACAGGGTACAATGTGATGTTTCAATGCATGTACACATAGTATTATGATCAAATTGGGTAACCTGACATTCAAGGCTCATGACAATCTGGCCTTAATTTACTTTTCCAATACTCTACCACTGAAGCTTTTACACTGGTCACACTAGTCTTTCAATTCCCCAAGCAAATCTCATGATTTTGCACCTTAATTAGTCCCTACCATTTCCTAACTACAATGCTTTCCCAATATTTCTCTATCTACCTACACAAAACTCTCCCAATTTTCAAAGCTCAGCAAAAGTTCTATTTCCCCTTTCTCTGCTATTCCAGGTAACAGTGCTCTCATGACAACTCTATCTTCCTCTTGCTTCTCCAAACCCCTTGTGGCACTTAACATGTCTAATCTATTTTACAAACATTGAGACCTCATAAATCGCCCTCTTGCATACATGTCTCTTCCATCAGACTGTAAAATCACCAACAATCAGAACTATATCAAGCCTTTCTTTATATTAAGGTATCAATAGATATATTGTTATTCATAATATACACTCAATATCCTCAGTACAGCTTTATCATAGAATGCTACTTGACAGTAAAAAGAAACAAACCACTGAACAACTTGGATGGATTGCGATCCTTTCAGCCAATCCCATAAGGTCACATGGTATATAATTCCATATACAGAACATTTCTCAAGTAAGAAAATTAATAGAGATGGAAAACAGATTTAGGGATGATATGGGCAAGGTGGTGGGTGTGATTATAAAGGGGTAGTACAAGGGAGATCTTTGTGATGATGAAATAGTTCTGCATCTTGATGTGATTGTTTGTTACACAAACATACACATGATAACTTGGCGCAGACTACACACTTACATTGCCATGTCAAATTTCTCATTTTAAAATTGTACTATAATTAAGATATAACCACCGGGGAAACAGTGAAGAATACACAGAACATACAGGACCTTTCTGCATTATCTTTAAAACTTCCTGTGAACCTATAATTATTTCAAAATAAAAAGTTAAAACACTGAACAATATTCAACTTCATATTTATTTACTAAATATGTATACTCATTATCTAATTTTATTCAAGTTAAGGACAATCTATAATTACTGGGGTAAAGTAAATTCTCCAAATCTATTTGTTATCATCGAAAAATATCTTAGAGCTAAATGACTTTTAAGATCTATAAGCACAAACAGTAATCGCCTATGGATATGAAGTTTGAGAGGTGGGGGATAAGAAGTGGAGGGAAAGCTACATTTTCAACCATATACCTTTTGTCCTGAGTAAATTTCAACCCTATGCATATATTACTTTTAAAACTGTTCTTATTAAATATTCAGTAAATACAAAATAATTTTTATTTAACGTAGGAAAAGAATAACCTTTCTTAAGCACTCAATTTAAGAAAGAAAGCATTATTGTTAGTTTTCAAGTCTCTTGTGTATCCTTCTCCATTTCTATTACAATCTCTCCCCCTCAAAGAATGACCAATATCCTAAATTTTGTGTTTATCATTCCCTTGTAATTCTTCACAGTTTTACCATGCTTGTATCTCTAAACAATCTATTCTCTAAACAATATATTCTTTAGTTTGGCATGCTTTTGAACTTAATATAAATGGAATGTTATGGTACATTCTTTCTACGAGTAGTTCCCCCCACTCAACAGTCTAGTGCTGAAATTCATCCATGTCACTGTATATAACTAATTCATTCATTTCTACTGCTGTAGAATATTCCATATAAATATACCATCATTTATCAAAGAGACTGGTATCCAATGTGTATAAATAGAAGGTCGGTATACTGTAACTGAAAAAAATACAGCATGTTTGAGATTACACAATACATATGAATATACGTATACACATATACAATAAATACTCTATCTGATATAAATAGTTCTGTTTGGTGATATACTTAAAATGGCTCTCAGTGGCATAATGTCTCAATACCAAATTCCTCTGCTTGAATATAAGCTGGAATTGATTTTTATATATAGTGATGATGGTATGCGAGCCCACAAGAAGTATACATTCGTTTCAGTTACTGTACATTTTTGTCATGCAAATATTAATTTTTCTTTCTTTTTGAGACAGAGTCTTGCTCTGTCACCCCACCTGGAGTGTAGTGGCAGGATCTCGACTCAACGCAGCTTCCATCTCCTTCCTGGGTTCAAGCAATTCTCCTGCTTCAGTCTCCCAAGTAGCTGGGACTACAGGTGTGTGCCACCACACCTGGCTAATTTTTGTGTGTGGTTTTTTGTTTTCTGTTTTTAGTAGAGATGGAGTTTCACCATGTTGATTCAAACTCCCGACTTCAACTGATCCGCCCACCTCAGCTTCCCAAAGTACTGAGATTACAGGTGTGAGCCACTGCACTTGGCCAAGTATTACTTTTTCAACACACACACACACACGCGCACGCACGCGCGCGCGCACACACACACACACACGCACGTTCTTTTATTCTAGATATTATAAAACACACACACACACACACACACACACAATAATGTTCTTTTATTCTAGATACTATAGACCAAATAAAAATTAGTTAAAATAAAAAAATACTTACAGTTCCTTCCTTACAGCATAATATTTAGTTTGGTATTTCTAGAGTATCTATTTATACCAAGTAGGACATAATGGCAATATTACTGAGCACAAAATAAGTAAAAGAAAGCAAAACCAAGAAAATGAAGAATTACATATAAACACGAAAATGATACAATTTCTAAAAACATAACTGTCAGAAAGTACAACTTACCTTGAATGTTGAAAGCCCAACTTTTCCTGGAGACCTGTTCAGAAATAAAAGTAAGGAGGTGTTGAATAGAGGAGATGAGAAGAGAAATACTTCTATACACTTATCACAGACAAGTCCACATTTAAAAAACGTGTATATATTTTAGGATTGAAAAGTCTTGTGTGCATATAGAAAACAGAAAACATTAAAAAGTGGAGAAGAGGCCAGGTGCAGTGACTCACGCCTGTAATCCCAGCACTTTGGGAGGCTGAGGCAGGTGGATCACCTGAGGTCAGGAGCTCAAGACCAGCCTGAACATGGCAAAATTCTGCCTCCACAAAAAATACAAAAATTAGCCAGGCATGGTGGCGCATGCCTGTAATCCCAGCTACTTGGGAGGCCGAGGCAGGAGAATCACTTGAACTAGGAGGCAAAGGTTTCAGCAAGCTGAGATCATGCCACTGCACTCCAGCCCGGTCAACATAGCGAGACTCCGTCTCAAAAAGGAAAAAAATGGAGAAGTCCGGTCTGGTCAACAGAGTGAAACCCTGTCTCTACAAATAACTTAAAAATTATCCAGGTGTGGTGGCTATTGCCGGCAGACCCAGCTACCTGGGAGGCTGAGGCACGAGAATCGCTTTAGCCTAGTAGTTCAAGGTTGCAGTGAGCTATGATCATGCCAATGCACTCCAGCTTGGGTGAGAGAGCAAGATCCCATCTCTTAAAAAAAAAAGAGAGAGAGAGAGAAGTAGAAGAAATTAAAGTGATTCATATATAATCTTATCACCTAGAGATCTGAGTATCTTTCATCTTCATATATGTGTGTGTGTGTGTGTGTGTGTGTGTATAGTTGCATATGACATAATACTACAACAAATATCCTTGTAAATGAAAATTTGTGCATTTCCATAATACATCTCCTTGAAATAAGTTTCTCTAGAAGTGGGATTAGAAGTCAGAAGTATACAAACTTTCCAGAATTTTTAGAAACTTTCTCAAACGCCAACCAGAACAGTTGCACCTGTTTACACTCCTACTGCTCTATGGATGCCCGTTTCTTAATAAACTCACCAAAACTGTTATTTTAAACTTTTTACCAAATTGACAGGCAAAAGTATATCTCATTGGTGTTTTAATGCATACTTCAATTTCTAGTGTAGATTAAAATGGTCATATGTATTAGATATTTACATTGCTTTTGAAGAGAGAGATCATTTTTGTTCTCAGCTTTTTCTTTTCTTTTCTGTTTTTAAAGACAGAGTCTTGCTGTTGCCCAGGCTGGAGTGCAGTGGTGTGATCTTGGCACATTGCAGCCTTGACCTCCTGGTCTCAAGAGATCCTCCTGCCTCAGTCTCCCAAGTAGCTGGGACTACAAGCATGCACCACCACACCCAGCTAATATTTTGTATTTTTTTTTTTTTTTGTAGAGATGGCGTCTCACTATGTTGCCCCTGCTGGTCTCGAACTCTTGGGCTCAAGCAATCCTCCCACTTCAGTCTCTCAAAGTACTGAGATTACAGGAATGAGCCACTGTGTCTTGCTCTCAGCTCATTTTTCTACTAGAGCAAGGCTGTTCTGAAATATAGACTACTCTGGATGTAATATATGTATTTTTGAGACACGGTCTCACTCTATTACCCAGGCTTGAGTGTAGTGATACGATCATGGCTCACTGCAGCCTCAACCTCCTGGGCTCAAGCAATCCTTCCACCTCAACCTCCCAAGTACTGGGACTACAAGTACATGCCACCATGCCCAGCTGATTTCTGTACCTTTTTTTTATAGAGACAGGATTTGCCATATTACTCAGGGTTGGTCTCGAACTTCTGGGCTCAAGCAGTCTGCTTGCCTCAGCCTCCCAGAGTGCTGAGATTACAGGAGGGAGCCACCGAGCATGGCCAGGATGTAATGATTTTTTTTTTTTTTTTTTGAGTCGGAGTTTCGCTCTTGTTACCCAGGCTGGAGTGCAATGGTGCGATCTCGGCTCACCGCAACCTCCGCCTCCTGGGTTCAGGCAATTCTCCTGCCTCAGCCTCCTGAGTAGCTGGGATTACAGGCACGCGCCACCATGCCCAGCTGATTTTTTGTATTTTTAGTAGAGACGGGGTTTCACCATGTTGACCAGGATGGTCTCGATCTCTTGACCTCGTGATCCACCCCCCTCGGCCTCCCAAAGTGCTGGGATTACAGGCGTGAGCCACCGCGCCCGGCTGTAATGATTTTAAAAGTAATTTTTCACCAATTATTTTAACCCCTTCCCCAGCATTTTTTTTCGAATAGAACAGTCTGATTATCTGCTTCAAAGCATAAGGCTACTTAGTATACCTTGGAGTTACGCAATAAAAAGTTTTATATACCATTCCTAATTTTTTTCTTAAATCCAATGATTACATGATGCAACTTTGACTTGAAAGGCACCTTCAAGATGATCTAATTCCATAGCTTCTTTTTACAGATAAAGAAACAGATTCCGAGAGATTAAGTGACTTTTCCCCAAAGTCATATTTTGGAGCACAACCAAGAAAAGCATCGAGTCCTACTAACATGCTTTTTACATGCCACATTGGGTAATGACATTTGGTAGAGGAATCCTTGACCTCTAATAAAAACTTAGTTTGATAAAAAATTACTTTTGAATAACAGAAAATCAATCCCTTTATTCAACAAACATTTATGGGCTGGGCACAGTGGCTCACACCTGTAATCCCAGCACTTTGGGAGGCCAAGGCAGGAGGATCACTTGACGTCAGGAGCTTGAGACCAGCCTAGGCAATATAGTGACACCCCATCTCTACAAAATAAAAATAAATCAGCCAGGTGTGGGGTTGAACACCTGTAGTCTTAGCTACGTAGGAGGATCACTTGAGCCCAGAAGCCATGAGCCATGATTGTGCCACTGTACTCTAGCCTGGGTGACAGAGTGAGACCTTGTTTCAAAACACAAAACAAAACCAGACCCCTAAAACCAACATTTATGAATTACCTACTATGTACCAAGACTAGAGATACAAAGATAAATTAGATACAATTCTACTTTGCAGGAGGAGGTTAAAGTTTGTTTAGAAAACAAAAAAAAGTAGTTGTCATAAAATAGTACCCATTTAATTACAATGTCTGTCAACATAAATATGTGTTAACAAAGGACAATTTCCAGAAATGAAAACTTACATTGCTAACTATTTGGGTCCTCTAACAAACTTATACTGCAATGTATCAAAATCCTGTTCATCTAGAGTTGATTAGTTAGGACTGAGGTTAATTCATATTCAGTAAAAGATTCCACACAAATGGATGTCTTAAATAATACAAGTGCAATCAAAACAACAACAAATATTAAAAAGTAAAAATGAAAAACCTTTTTTTCTTTTTTTGAGATGGGGTCTCATTTTGCTGCGCAAGCTGGTCTTGAACTCCTAGCCTCAAGCAATCCTCCCACCTTAGCCTCCCAAAGTGCTGGGATTACAGGCATGAGCTACTGCACCTAGCCCAAAAATTCTTTAAGGGGCATAAATTTCCATATGGTACAAATTCAGAATGCCAATCACCTGCAACAAAGGCATAAAGGCAAGAAGGGTAAGATATTTTAAAATTATGCCCATATGAGGTACAGAAGGGAAGAAATTTGGCCTTTCCAGCAATGCTCACACCTTGAGAAATGTGACCAGGCTTTTTAGCTGTCTGTCAAAAAAAAGAGCAGGAAACCACATTTCTTGTATGTCACTGGCTTCAAAAACAGCACTCTCTGGCTGTTGATTCACAGGATCAAAGTTACTGGCTAATTATTGACACGTATGGAAATATTCTAGATTGACCCTGGTGGGGCTTTACATATAACTGTATGCAAACTATATAGAATATTTTATTATTTCCTTCTGAAGAGACAAGGAGATAGTGCAATACAGGTTTTTGAGCAGATGAACCTTGCTTGAATATTGTTTCTACCATTTATCCTATGTGTGATGAAATCATTTAATTTCTCCAAGCCTCAATCTCATCCTCTGCAAAAGGGGGTAAAACCATCTGTTTTATAGAACCGCTATGAGGATTAAGTGAGTGAGTACATGGGACACACAACAGTGTAGCCTCTTCAGCAGCTCTGAAATGCTCAAAGTTTCTCAAAGGCACTTTGGCAGTCTGTCAGTAGTGGGGAGCCTGAGACCAATTTCTGGAATACAGAAAAGGTTCCCTACAGCCTGTAAAACTCCACCACATTTAACAACAGGGAACATGAAAAAGCCAAATCATATTGAGCTGGTGATTAAAATGGGATCCTCCTTGCAACTGGGTGACATCACTAAATAAAAAACTAGTAACAAAAGACACTCATGTTTGAAGCATATTTTAAATGTTACAAAGTTGTTAAGGCCTTGGTAGGTAGGAACATTTCAAACTACTACAGTTTCAAGTCTATTAAGCCTAAAACTGTCTTTAACAGGGTAGTCTATAAGAGAATTCTTTTGTGACAAATTTTTAAATCCATGTATAGAACATTAATGACTAGTAAAAAAAGGCATATTTATAACTTGCAAAGTTGACTAAAATCCTTTGTATCATGTGCCAAGATGAAAAAAGAACAATTCATTTTATCCTAAGAAGCAATAAAAACATTATTTAGTATTACCACACAAAACTTTCCTAATAGGGGCCTTGTAAAAATAATAAAACACTGCATGTTCTCACTCATAAGTAGGAGCTGAACGATGAGAACATATGGGCACAGGGAGGGGAACATCACATACAGTGGCCTGTTGTCGGGTTGGGGTAAGGGGAGGGACAGTATTAGAAGAAATACCTAATGTAGATGACCAGTTGATGGGTGCAGCAAACCACCATGGCACAGGTACACCTATGTAACAAACCTGCACATTCTGCACATGTATCCCAGAACTTAAAATGTAATTAAAAAAAAAAAAAAGAAAAATAAAGCAATGGCTATCATTTATTAAGGATTTGCCAAAAACTATTAACACAACATGTTTCAACTTCTTTGGTCCTCATAGCCCTCCTATTAGGTAGTTATATTACTTGCTCTATTTTACAGAAAAAACTGGCTTG